AAACCAACATCCATGTTGTGTTCCCTTTGGGGGGTGCCACCAAACAACGACGCCACCCATATGCCTGCAAAAGGGGGTTGCCGCGCTTGTGTGGATTTACTGTGGATACTAGAAGAGTAGGAACATATTCCGAACCCAGGACCAACAAGGAGAAGAACAGGTGCAAAACGAGCAGCCAAACTGTTCCCGGACATGCATCACAGTAACCCAAATCACCTAATCAAAAGTCCAAGCACCCAGCATCGATCTATCCTTCCAACATTGCACGGGTTTAAATTCATGGCCATGGTTCAAAATCCCGTACCCCCAGTGAACATCCCAATCCCCACTAAAATAGGTTCGAAAATGGGTGGTGAATTCACCTACCAACCAAAATGGCATCCCAAAACGGTTTTGACAACCACAGCCACATTGGCCTTTGTCACTCCGACCCCCGTCGTCTCCTTCCATCAAGGTGCTGCAGCTTGCAGAATCTCCGCGGCATCTGCGTCCTCTGGACTCGAGAAAAAGCGCTCGCTTGAGTTCGACTCATCCGAAACGAGGTTTCCCCTTCTAGGTCCTCCAGTAGACTGGTTAGAATAAGTTGGTACCAACTTTGTTCTGTAGACTATTTTGGTAGGGGAACCCTCCCCAAAAAAAGGGGTAAAATGGCACTGCTGGGGGACCTAGCCTTGGTTGATCGACACAAGCCAAATGCTTCGTTCATGACCTCAAGGGCGCTGGGTCCAGTTGATTTGCGTAAACACACTCCTTGGCATAAGTCCGCTCTGAGAGCATGTTGTGCATGGGGTCTGTGTCACCTCTAAAGGAGAAGGGGGGCGCATCTCCCATTTCAGGTGTCCAGTCTCGCCAAAATGGGCGCGCTACCCTTGGGATAGCTCCATGGGCACAAGGGAAACTAAATCCGCTGAGGGGTGCCATGAGACAAACCCAAGTTGCGATGAGTTCGACCTCATCTCGAACTCCCCATGTCTCACTTGCTGAGTGGATCACGGCCAAAAAAAGTGTGAACTTGAGTTTCCACCAAATGTTCCAAAAGGTGGCGAAAGTCCGAAACGGAACTCAGGAAGTGAGCCGAAGCATTCGGTACAAAAGCTTTTGGCTCTTAGGAACCCTCAAACCACCACCTCCAGGAAAAAATGGGGCACATACCCTTTATTAGAGTGGCCTTTCTTGTGGTTGTAAACCCCATTTAACCACTCGGGGAAGTGGTTTGGGAGTAGTGGACACCGTCTTACGGAGAAAAAAAGAAAAAAGAACTCCTGCGCCACTGCATGGACTTTCTCCCCTCGCTCAGGGCTCCTGGCCGCAATTTTCCGAAAGCGAAAGCGCCGGCTTCTCAAGCCCAAGAGTTCTGCACGACTCGTCTGGCTCGAGGTTTTTGGAGGTGACCACATCTTCTTGGGGTTGATGTAAATTCAAAGAGAAGGCAAAAGGACCATTTCACCATTTTGGGGGGACCCTTTGACACATGCCTTTGTCAAGTCAGTTGTAAGTCATTGAACACCTCGAAAAGCTGCGGGTCGTGCCGCAAAGTTGTGAACACCCGGAAAGGTTCCCTACTGATGGCCAGTAAGAAGCAGGTCTTGGGACCATGGCAACTTTATCCTCAATCCTCCACCAGCCTCTACCTCACGGCTGGAGCCAGGAAAGGGGGAAGCTAAGCTGTAGGCCCATGTCGAAGCGAACTGAAGCCTACCAATTGGCAGGGCGCCTAATTGTGGAGACAGAGCCATTCCTTACCCCAACCTTTTTATTAGCAATTACATATAGTTGGGGGAATCAGGAATGGACAGCTGGGTGCCATCCAGACACCAAGCCAAACAAATCCTTGAGTCAAGTCTTTCTGGCTATCAATCAAACAGATAAAAGACGCACCCATATTTCCATGGGGCAAAATCCCGTACCTCCAGTGAACATCCAAATCCCCAATAAACAGACTAAAATGGTTGGTCACCTACCCCAAAATGGTACCATTGGTTTTGACCCACACCCATATGTCAGTCTCAAAAAAAAGAGACGCCCATCAGTGATCCGCCAAGCCTGTGCACCGCAAAGGTGGATGAGGCAACCTCCACGCACTTGTAGCATCTGGAGCACGCTGTCTCGTCCACGAAAACCCCTGACAACAGTTTGGGCAGCCAAACCCTGAAGTTTGCCACGAAATCATGCAAAATGCAGGAAGCGAACACGTTTCGGCCGACCAAGGCCAAACACGTAAGAATTCGATCTCCAAGACTCGGGGCAGCAAACGTGAGTGTCATCTTCACAACTTCGCAAAAGCCCGAAGATGGGTCCGGAAACCCTCGCAGAACGTGAAAAGAAAAAACCCAGCCTAGCTCGTCGTCCTCCTGGATCCCAGAGGGGGGACGGCCCCCTTTCGCAATGAGCTCGCCGGCTTCTTTCTTCGCCTCATCCTCAAAAGGGTCCCGGAAAACTCTGCTTGCGCAGGGGAGCTTCATCAGCATACATTGGCTGGCTCAATGGTGGTGTCCTTCCCTTCAACAACCAACAAGCTTCCCCCAACAATTCTTGCTTGATACGTTCCATATCCAGGCTGAGACCGATAGTCTGTGTGGCCAAGTCACACTGCAAGTGGCATACTTTGCGAGGATGTTGCGGCGCGCTTCCCGGAAATCCTCCTCGACATGAACATCTCTTCTTCTGAAAGACCCTGTCGATCAAACAAAGCAACGGCTGCGTCATGAATCATTCCACTTTGTCTGCTTCCCTGCGTGCCCCAGCCCCCCAGCAAACCACAACACCAGCCGCCTGCCCTCCCCCCGCTCGTTTCCTGGCCCCAAGCCAGTGGTTCATTTGTTTTGCTACTTGGCTTCTGGGAAGTCGGTAGAACAGAAACAACGCCTTTTTTGGCTGCCTTTGTCCACTTAACCTTCCTCAATCAGAAAAGGAATCTGGTAATTGCCGCTTGTTTTTGTAATCGTTTTGCTGGCTAAAACCCCACCCCAAAGAAATCTAAAAAATTGGCACAGGTCTGGCTGGTCGTTTCCTTCAGCGCCGTGGCCATCTCCGCGTACTCCTCCCGCAGTTGCGCATCCGGCGGCGCGGCGCCCAGGTCCTCGCAGAGACTTGGAAGGATATGTCTTTTTTGAGGCTCAGGCAGCCCCGTCTGGTTGGTGTTGAAGGTTTCCAGTTTGGGGGGGCCTGATTCCTAAAAACGACACAGAGGTTGAGGGGGCTGGTGTTCCTGGCTGGTTCCGAATTGATCGGACCAGAATTGTGGTAGCGGACAAGGCTTTTCAGACATGAGGAAGATGTTGATGTCAATAGCAGCCAAGTTGCCGCCATTGCGCGACGGACGTGTCAGCTTGGCTCAGGTATGAGTTGTTCATAGATGATTGGACCACATTCAGATCAGCGGGGCCAGAAATATGGGGGACTCTCCTCAAGAACAGATTGAGAGACAACGATCAGCTCAGAGGTCCGAATGAAGGAGTGAACTATTTCAAGAACACGCTCAACAAGTACTTTTCCTTGAAGGGAGCTAAGAGAATGTGTTTATATCGACTTCTCAGTTTCTTCAACCACCAGAGAAACAACCACGAATGCTTCACATTCTTTGCCAAGTTTGGGGCTTTGATTTGGACACGCGAATCATCACGGAAAAACCTGGCGCCTACAATCCCATGAGAATCAGTTGCAAGACAAGCCACATAGCCTCAGCCATCCGCTGCAGCTGGAGAACCGACCGCCCAGGTCACAAACCCTATGCGGATCTGAGCCACTTGGCAATGTGTTGCCAGACGACGGGACGCGTTCCACTCAAGGACAACCTTGTTGCCCAATACATGAGTAGCCAGAGCGGCTAACCAACCAACAACCAGAAAGCTTGGTTAGCGCAATGCGACAGCCCGAGAACTACGGGTCTGAGATGCTCAAAAAACAGTATCAAGAGCATGTCATTGTGACCACAACAACCGTCAAGAATCAAACCATCGAGCAATTAAAGAAGCAAGACAAAATGTTGCCGACATCCTCGAGACAGCAGAATGTGAAGGAGAAGATTTGCAAAGGGGGCAGATGGTCCCAATAGCGTGTGACCAACACCTGATTGCTTGGCATGCGCAGGCAGCTTCATGAGCACAAGTGTCACAAAGGATTGGAAAAAAAGGATCAGCCCCCGCCAAACACGACAGTTCCATGGGCGAGAGGAATTAACGTCACCATCCCAGTTCCTGCCAGAAACAAGTTCAACAACCCAACCATGGCCACCATCGACGATGGGCTTGGTTATGACCAACCATGGATGGATCGCCATGCGCAACAGTTGTAGTTTCCATAGACATCTGTCGCGATCGACTGCAGTGGCGGAGGAGATGATAGAGGAATATTTGCTGTTGTCACGCGGCAGCACGACACGAGACGCCAACAAAGCGGCGAATAAGACTTGTGTGAACAAGCAAGAACTCATCCCTCACCGGTCAGCATCAGCTTCTAACCATTTGCCACGAACAGCTCGAGATCAGCGAAGACTCTTAAGCGCATCAGGGCACCTCATGACCGTACTTCCCCGACCTCTACATGAGACGCATGAGAATCAGCAATGAGACGCTTCTGCGTGGGACCTGTGATTCCGATTGGCAGGCTCCCCTCATGACCTACATTCAGCTCGCAGCCCAACAAGCCAAAGCAAAACAAATGGCAGGACTGGCGCCACACCCCTCAGCAGCCTAGACTGACTACAACGGAGATGATTGCGCTTGCACCAAGAATGTAACATTGCTTTTAGCTCAATGTCACGAGGAAAGATGTCAAAGGTTGTCAACCAGTGTGTTCGCGCTGCTGGAGGACTTGCGGGGAAAGGCGAAGAAAATGAACCGCCAGATGCATGAGACCCCCGCAACGAAGGCCAGGACATTCTCCAGCCACCGGTTGGTGCCTCTGACAAACAAGTGCCAGGCCCATGTCCTCATGTATGACTCCGGACTTGCCCTTCACACTGCCTCCGCCCAGCCTGCAAACTTGCAAGCGCGTCGACGGACTTTTCTTGCCGTGGACGCGGAAGAGCGCAACAGGCGCGGAGAAGTTAAAGGTCTGCGTGAAGGAAGAAGTGACAACGGCTGCCAAAGGTTTTGCTGGTGTAAAGTCCACGGTGGACAATGCTGCCTTTCTCATCGGCAAGAAACGTGGAAAACCCGTGTTAGGTTACGCCTGGGTCGGTTCATGGTATCATGGACCTCGCCATCCTCGAAGATCACCCAGTTGCCGGAGGAGTTGATTTTCACGAACTTCAGCATCTTGGAAAACTTGGCGGACTAGTGTGGATGCTCCCCCCTCCAACCGCTCAGCGCTGCCTGAACTGGACCCACCGCTCTCGGGGCAGCCACATGTCGCAGCAGCGGCGAAGTCTGCTGCATCTGCATGAGAAGGAGGCGCTGCCTCGGGTCGCCACGCTAGAACCTCCTGCAGAACAGTCTCCGGTTGCGAGGCGAACTGCTGAGCCCGATCTCTCCGCTCGTGCTGCAAGCGCTGGGCCAAGGCGCGGAGTCGGGCCATGGTTGGCTCGTCTATCGTCTGGGAAGAGGAGCGACCAAGCTGAGGCTGCTGTGTTCGGGGCTTCTGGAGGCTGCTGGGCCGGCTGCGCCTGCTGCGCCTGCTGCGCCTGCTGGGCTAGCAGCCCTCCAACCGAGCCCCGCTCCAGAAGCGCCTTCTCGGGGTCGGCGTCGCGCCGGTGCCGCGCCAATGCAGCACACAGACACACACACCGGCAGCAAAGAAGCCCTTCCGGGACTGGCTGCGTCCAGGCCGCGCCGCGTAGCTTTGAAATATTGGATGGACCCTGCCCCCTTCCCTGCCTTACGGGTGTGGTTGTGGCTTAGTACCGGCGTGAGGGATCATGCCGGGAAGAGCCTGTGGGGAGGTGTAGCATCTCAAGGATGACTAGAGTGTTGCACCGCCCTTCCCCGCACTGCACGAAAGATGCGGCAGCGGCGCGTTGAACTCCAACCGGAGTCGTCCTGATGACGCGATGGCAGGAGGGACGGCCGCAATAGCTCCATCCTTCCATCCATCCAGGCCTACCAGGTTCACGGTGGAGACCCCAATGCTTGCTGGAGTCCAAAGCTGCCAAGGGACCGAGCGACCAACTACGCTCATGAACCCAGAAACTGCGCCAAACGGGAATGCCCTCATTTACATTCAAAGTGATATTGCTTCAATAAGGACACATCCTGAACTTCCTCCACATCGATCACTTGACACTTCCTTCCCGGTTGAGATTGATCCAGAGACACAGTGAACACCAACAATAATGGGCAAATTTCTCCGGGGTAATTAGCCCCCTGTACGGGCTACACGGAGTTGCGGGGGGTTAAGATGGGTCAAAATGGCTTAAGGGGGGTGAAGGGGGTTGATTGGGGTTCAGCAGGGTTACAAGTTGGTCGTGATGTGAAAACGCCCTTGGAACAGCCCGTGCTGAAAGGAGCTGAACTATCTTCTGGGGAAGGCCAAATGCCAAACTGTGATGCGACTCAAAAAGGTGCTGATCGAACGGGCAAGTAAACATGATAGACTGCAAATGGGGTTTCCAACATCAGGTGGTTATATACGTGGATTTGGGGGCTGTTGGGCTTCCATTTTCTTGCAAAGCCATATGGGTGTGACCCTTTGGTGGCCAACCACTTGTGAGGTTCCCACTCTTAAGCTTCAGCTCACCATTCGGTTGTTTTGAGGCAAACCACCAAGAAACCCACCGCTTGCGGGGCTTCTGGTCCTCTCTTTCTGGCACCCCTTTGGTTGTTTAAAGGTAAACCACCAGGAAACCCACCAACTCTTAAGCTTCAGCTCACCATTCGGTTGTTTTAAAGGCAAACCACCAGGAAACCCACCGCTTGGTCCCAAATTTGGGGCAAACCCATGTCCAGCTGTCTCCTGCTTGGCGGTCAGTTGCAGCACCCGGCAGTGGGCCGCCGCCAATAGGTCGAAAGGATTCTTCCGGCCCTGCAGCGACCTTGAAGTGAGCGCTGGGTCACGAGCGTCTCTGATATGTGTGTACGTATGCGCACTGTATATGTATATATATATATGTGTATGACTGCATATGCATCCATAGAGTATTTTTCGATGTAGCATATCAATACAATATACAATAGTAGCTTCAATTCCATACAAAAGTGTACTTTGCTTTTAGATTACATTATACTAGGCTATATTCTGTCATATTCTACATTATGGATATTATATTTCTTATATTTGCCTTTTTGGGATAAATTGTGCTGTGACAGCTTGTGTTATGTTATGTCGCGCTATGTGCTATTGTTTTTTAATGCATGTGTGTATAATATATATATATATATAGATATATATATTATGTACGTAGAGCCGTATGAATGTGCACATGTTTATATACATGTATATTAAAAGTAGATATATACCTGGCATCTGTACACAGTTGCTTGTGCGCTCCTCTGTGTCCACAACTTGTTTTTGCGCATATAGATTGCACACCTCTCCCCGGATTCACAATGGCGACATGCTGGGTGTCCTCCTCCAGTGGCATTCACCCGGTGGAAATTGGAACACTTAGTTGCTCCGGTTTTGCGTACATGCCCATATAGATACCAAATAACCATGGATATGAAGAAATGGGTTCTTACATTCTTTTTTAACGCCCAGGCAGTCAGCCGCCAGTCAGCCAAGCGACTGGGATCGATGGTTTTGTGCGGGCTCCGACTGTGCATATCACCTTTAGAAAAATCACCCCCTCCGAAATGCACCCAACCTGCGTGAAACATGTGATACACCTTTCACTGCGGCACAAGTGCATGTCCTGCGTGGAGAATCAGGCATGGACAAGGGCGTGCCTGATAACACCAACTAGGGACCCTTGTCAGACCCGTTGCAGGGAGGGATCTGGCTGTGGCTCAAAAAAACGGTACCAAAATGGGTTGCCCTGGTAAGTGGAAACATCAAAACCTGCGTAACCCCTGTTTAATTTTGAGCTACACCCATCTCTTGCCATTCCGAGTCAAAACATTCGCGTGCGAAGGCGCTTGCTCTTCTGCAGGGCGTACTCCAACAATGGCACCCATCTGCGGGGCAGCATGGTGATGGCTTGCTCGGGGCAGCCGAGCCTCGGGATATGATGCGCACATCTTCAGGTGAATAGGACACCAAAGGAGCCCCCTTTCCGCGTTGAGGGTTAAGGCAACCCCTTTGAGGAGCTGGGGGGAGGGAGGGGAGGGGGAGGGAGCCCAAATAAGCCCTAAATAAGGCCTTGTTAAGGGCTTGATAGCTTATTTGGGCTCCCCCTCCCCTCCCTCCCCAGCCCCCATGATTTCAAGAATGGAAGGCCAAAGAAAGCCACTGCAATTGTTCAGGTAACATTGGTGGTTTGGATGTGCGATTTTTGAACCCCTTGGTGTAGAGGCAGATGTGAAACCCCACCACCAATCCAAACCACCAATTTGAGGGTACTGTAAAAGAAACAAAAGGGAAACACACAGGGTGGGCACCCTCCGACAGCCGTGATTCTTTCCGACCAGAACATGTCTCCACGTCGTGGACAGGCTGCTCCGCGATGTCCAAATCATTCACGTCGTTGCCCCCCTGGAGGTAGACGTGGGCCCTCCTGCCAAGGAGGCGCACCAACAACCCCCTCTCTATGTGAGTTGAGTCTCTTCCGACCGGTGACCTTTCGATTTCGGACCAGGAGCTTTTCCTCATGTTTCTTTGGCTTCTGGCTTTCCGCTCTTAAAACCAAAGCCTCAAAATGGGAATTGGAACCCTCAACGCGGAACGGGGTTCCTTTGGTGCCCCCATTCAAACCGGAAAGGGTACAGTACCCTCAACAAAAACCACCCCTCCAAGATGGGCTGCTGCTGGTCTCAAAATAGGAACTGGAATTCTGCCCGCCCTCATGTTGTTTGGAGTTGTAAAATCAGGCCAAGTTGGGCTTTGGTTTGTCGCGACATGGGAATTGGAGCCAAGTATCTTCCCCGTGCCTGGCCAGCACTATCAAATCTGAAGCCAAAAAGGGCCGTGCTTTCGGCAAGGGCGCTGGGGGGCGGCACCTGTTCTCAAAGCGGGTTTGGGAAGATGGGTCTGTTTGTGTTCCCGCAGAACTCGTATGTTTTTTGTTTACCAACCCCAAAAAGGGGCGCAATCCTGGGCACAGTACCCTCAAAAACATCCTCCCCCCCCCTCATGTTGCTTGTCTCAAAAGTCAGGCCGTCTCCATCTGTGGACTTTTTCGGCTTCCCTTTCCACGCCCGTGGCATCAGCAGAACCCCTCCGGTTTTCGCCCGGCCCCCGTGCCACCCCCCGAGCTTCGGCGCGCCTGGTGTTGGGATCCACCTCGAAGGTGCCCGGGGCGCTGCTGGCGCACTTCAGGCAGCTCCGGCACACCGTCTCGTCCACGAAGAGGCCTCTGCGACATCGGCACACATGTGGCGTCCGTGGCTCGGTGTGGGGGGGTTGGGTGGAGGGCTTCCCGTTGACGTACCAAAAAAAGGCCTGCCACGCGACATCCACGTAGGTGTAGTCTGTGGCTCAGTTTGGTGGTTGAAATTGGAGCTTCCCAGTTATACCAATAAACATAAAAAAGGGTTCAGTTCACCTAGAGAAACCCATGTTTAGGGATTCCCGATTTGGGCGGCTCAACTTTTTGGAGGTTGGACCAAAAAGCGGGTACCCCCCAAAAAAGGTAGACCCACATGGGGGTCTGTAAAGGAATCGACTCTCTTTTCATGGTAGAAACGGGAGAAAGACAGGGTGTCAAATACACATCAAGATGGGGTATTCAAAAACATCGCCTTTGTTTCATGTATGTTGCATGTGGATATGGGGACAACTTGGCTGTTCTTTAAAGGTGTGAATAGAAGCTACCCGGTTACGTTTGTTGGCTCAAGAAAAAAATAACTGTTTAGCTGTTACAAACTGAGTACGTTTTCTCATATGGCAAACAAACATGGTGTCAAACAGACATTCCGAAGCTGTGTCTTCTGGCCGAAGCTGTGTCTTCTGGTCGTATGTTTTCAAATAGGTGCCTATTGTTTCCTTGTTTCCAATAGACGTCTGATGACTTTGGGGTGTTTAAAGGAAACCATCTGCCCCCCCCCTCCTCCCCCATTTCGAGCGTCCAATTTGAAATTCACGGCACTCCCGCTGATCCAAGCAGGAATGTGTCCAAAACAGGTGGACCCTCAAAATGGGTGGTCCTGTTGGCTGGTGGTGTTTCTTGCCCTTCCCTTGAAAGCCATCCCAATAAGGGTAGCCTTAAACACACACACACACACACACACACCGCCCCCACGTCCGGCCGGATTTTTGGGCCGTCCCCGGCCTTCTGTGGCCTTGGGATTGGCCCATTGGCTCATCGCCATGTTGGACATCTTGCTGCGGCGCAGCGTGGTGTCCTCAGCGCGCGAAAAACGCGTGCACGCGCGGCGCGACGCCCATGGCAAGACATGCCGTAAAAACGTTGCAGCTTCGAGGATTTGACCTGCAGCTTAGGCAACTTGACCTCGAAGGTCAGATGGAAGAACGGAACATGGCCTGGAAGGAAGCAGAAGATCCAGGTGGCGAAGAGAGAAAGAGACTCGAGGCTTAGCAAACGGGCTCAGCGGCATACTTCTCACGCAGCTCGTCGTCGCTGAGCATGCGGTAGGCAGAGTTGACGATGACCTGCCAGCTGGCTCTCAGCTTATGGCCCAGCTGACCGAAGCCGTCCCGTCCAAAACGCTGCATACGATGTACTCATCTGTGCCATGGTCAAAACTCTCTTTGTATGGCGTATGGTCATAGTTCCCTGAATAGGAATCATTATGATGGTATTGAGGATCCTTACCACCAGGTGGATGACCATCCCTGTTAACCGCAAGTCAATCAATGTCAACCGGTCTTTTCACCATGACACGAGGTGATTCTTTGACTGGGCATCATTGCGAGTATGTGATGTTGGGCTCATTGCATTCGGCCTTGGCATTGAACGCCGCGCATCCAAAAGGGTCAAATCGATTTGGGCTGACCCTCACTTCTTGAAACCCTGTCCAACTGGGTTACCTACATCTAAACCTTGCAAATGTCACCTCCGAGAAAACTCAAGCTAAACAAAAGTGTCCAAAAGGTGATGCCTAAAACACAGACCGCCTCCCCTCAAATCCATTCATGTCCATATCTCCAGAACAAAGAAGACGCAACGCATATTTAACAACCATCATATATTTTTAATATTCAATCAAACAACCATCGTAGCAAACATCAATTCGGACTACTGTGGCCTGTTTGTTTCCCATGGAGATACTCAGTTGCTCCACCCAGATGTTTTCAAGGTGATCGCCTATTCGGGCCACTCTTGGTATGCTCATAGTGTGTCCCAGCTCCAAAGGATTTCCAGAGCAAACCTGGACTTCCCCTAAAAACGAACTTGAACTCAGTTCACTTCTTGTTTCCTCGGACATCAAACCGCTGTTTCGCAAGTTCCCCTTGAAGGGAAATGGCTCGGAATCCCGTTTTCTTTTGATCCTGGCAACTCAGCCCTGTTGTTGGCTCCCTACCACTCTCGCGCGAGATTTTGAGCTTCTCGCTCTTGTGTCCCTGAAAAACCCGTTGGATGGCTGTGGTCAAAACCTGGTACCCCTGGTGAACATCAAAATAGCATCCACCCCAAAATGGCTCGCCATAGGTTCTGCAACCCGCCGGATCAAAATCCCATCCCGCTTCGCTTCGCTTCGCTTCGCTTCGCGTTCGTGAGAAGGCGCCTGCAGGTCTCCGGAGGCCGGGCCCAGGATGTCTGGGTGCACCAGCTTCACCGTGCGCCGGTGAGCCGCCTGACTCGGCGGGCTCGAAGCAAAAAAAAACGGTGGCTTGAGCCATGTTGGATAGTTTTGTTTAATGGGTGTTCAAGGGAAAGCAAAAGGAAACCACCTGGAATTGGTCCCTAATTTCATAAGAAACAGACATCTCTCTTCCTATCAATCTATCTAAAGATGCTATGGAAACATCCAAAGCACCTTAGCATACAAATAACAAGATTTAGCAGAACCTTCGGGGTCTTCTGCCTTTCGAGTTTCGTCCCGGGTGTTTGTCCTAAAATGACGGTCCGGGCAGTCCAGGCAGTCCAGGCAGTCCCCAAAAGGCTGAAACAACCGGAAACCAAAACGCAGACCTGCGGCCCTGGTCTTTAGGACACATTTTTTACCCATGGAAGGCTTGTTGAAACCCTGGGATCCCAAAACCCCCACGATTTGAGGTCGCTAGGGGTCAAAGGCTATATCTAGGGTCTTGGGGATAGGGAGAAGTGGCTCAAGCGACGATCTTGCCAGGTCGGTTTCGAGTGTCTCGGGTTTTTCTGAGGGAGATTTGGCTTGTTGGTGATGTTTAAACCCACTTCTTGAGTGGGCTGGCCAGGAAAAGGCCAAACCTTTCCTTCGCCGCCAAAAGGGTCTTCGCAACAAGTTCAAAGTCCGTAAACTCAGGAATGAGTAAATCAACACCCTCAAACATTCATAACACAGAGTCTCAGAGGACACGTACGGTCGCGCGAAATGATGAGCATGTTTCAATATATCGACTCTGCCAGGATCTCCCCAAAAAGGGGATGACCCTCAAACTGGTTGGTGCCCTCTTGGGGTTCCCTTTGAAGGATGTGAACACACACCCATTGCCATATTTTGATTGAAATAATTGGCCAACCCATCAGCACTCGACTCCATGGTTTGCTGCTGAATGAGCTCGCTACCAGTGCTGCGCCATGGACAAATGATCTTTCGAAACACCAAAATGCTATGATTGCCTAGCATCGGAAAACATGGGCGTGTCTTCTTTCAGGGGACCCCCCCCCAAAAAAAAAGAATAAATAAAAAATGGTCTTCCTCTTGGTGTTCCTTTATATAAAACCGCAAAGAGGGGCTCCCTACCTCCGCGGGAGCATTTGGTCGGCCGCGTTCGCCTCTTAACCCCCGGGGCCTTGATGGCCTTCCGGTCCGAAGTGTAGGCGGGCAGGCCCAGCAGGCCGTAGTAGTCCTTCCGATGTACGCCACATGGGCCACTGGCCGTGTGCTCTGTTTCCAGGGTGCCCCTTTTTTGGGTCTGGTTTCACAAAGGGAAACTGAAACTCCAAAAAGGGAAACTCCAAAGGGAAACTCCAAAAAGGTTTGGTTTTTGGAGAATCAAAAAGGGAAACTCCAAAAACAAGAAAAAACATTTTGGTGGGTCCTTCTCAGAACAAACCCCACAGATCCACAGCGACAGTCATGCCCCCGCAAACGAACATGGGCTGCCCCAAAAGGGGGGTCCGTGCCCGGCAACAAACGTGATGGATTAATTTGTTTTTTTTGGGGGAGGGACTGCATTCCATAGCACAAGTGCAACTCTCTGTGCCAGTCCAAATCATTGCACCCCCAACTGCAATATGACGATTTCGTGAGCGCCCGTCAAATTATCCCTGTCATTTTTGTAGCCCTGATTTTTGATCTCAGCCGGTCCGTCGGCGCCAGCACGCGCAAGGCCACTCGGCGCACTACCTGAATGTAGGTCCGGAGTTGGGGGCCGCTTGTTTGGTTTCCATGTAAACCCTCTCTTAGGGTTCATGTCCTAGCCGCTTTTTCAGCGTCTTTCCTCCACAACTTCAATGAAACCTGGAGCTTTACATCTCTGGCACCACTTCACTGCCTGCGCCTGGGGGGGGCGGGGGTAATTAAGCCCTCAATGGGACCCGGGGTACCCATCTGTCAACCCACCGATTCGCTTTCACGCCACGCCACGCGCACGCCCTGGGCCGCCACCAGTGCCGCCGCCACGTGCCGCGTCGCGAACGACGCCCCCGCCGCTGGGCGCGCCGCGGCGCGCGGGCGAGGCGGCGGAAGCGAGCCGTGCGGCAGGGGGTTCCACGCCCCGGGCCCAAGGGCCATGGCCATGACGGGAAAAAGTCTGCGAGAAGCGACTCTAGCTGCTTGGGAACTGACAGCGGAATGAACAGCATCGACTGGGTGGGGTGGAAGTGTTGAAAGGATCAAAGGGTACGTGGGATGCTTGATGGCTGCCGGCTCGAAAGCTGAAAAGCTGCCGGACAAAGACCCAAAACATGCTGACGACATGTTCTGCGGCGTTTGAAGCGCCAAGAAGACCATGGCACAGGCGTCCTTTTGGGAAAAAAGGATTTGAGGGTTCTCTGGTAAATGGGCCACAGAACTGACCTAAACCAGTGGAACCCAAATCTATTTCTAAGCAAACTAATCGATCAAAAGGATGAGCCTATGGGCGTATCACTGCAAACAAATCAACAATTCGCAGCGCCATGTTTGTTTCTCCGGAGTGGGTCCGGCCCTTTTGTTGGCCAAAAGGACACCTCCCCATTTGTGGCGTATCAGTGTTTCGTATTAGTGTCGTTCTTTTCCTGAGTTGGTCCCCCTTTTGTCGGTTTTAATGGGAATCCAAAAGCCCCTCCCCTTTTGTGGTGTCAAAACCCTCCACGTGTCCTGGCAAGCCGCTCTCCCGACCTCTCTCTCGCATCCGCTCCTTCCCGGCCTGTCTGAACTGGGCTGAGATCCGCTTGGATTTCCTGAGGCAGCTCGCCGCGGCCGCGTCTTCTTTGGGGAGGGCTGGACACTCCAACTAGCCACCCATACCAGAAATCTCGGGGCCACCCAGTTCTGGGGGCGAACGCGACCGGTTTCTGGGGGGACATGGTCTTGACCTGCTAGTTGGGAGTTTGAAAGAGAATTGCGAGGGGCAGCTGCCTCTTGCTGATGGTTTTACAGGGAAACCAACAGGAAAACCGAAATCCATGTTGGGGCTCCAACCCAAAAAAACAAGACACTCTAGGTCCTCCAGTAGGCTGGTTAGAATAAGGGTACCAACTTTGTTCTGTAGTCTATTTTAGCAAGGGAATCCTCCCCCAAAAAAGGGCAGAAGGGCACTACTGGGGGACCTAGCACTCACAAGGAGAAAAACCCCAGCCCTCATGGCAGTGCCCCCTGCATTGCAGAAACTTCATTCGAGGCCTTCGCCTTCTGCATGCACTGCTGCTGCTCTTTCCGCAGCTGCTCCTGTGAGCATTTCAGGGGTCGACCATCTTCCCTCAAAGGGCCCCAGTTCTGACCATGGGTCACTTGTCCCATGTGGTTGAAAATATCATGGATCTTGGTGCTTTCCAACTATTGGTCATCCCCCAAGTCTCAGAGAGCTTCGAAAATGCCCAGCTTGCAGCGTCGTCAGATGGCCATAGCATAGCAAGCCGCTCGCAAGCCCCGCACTCCGCGAGCGTGCAACATCCACCCGGCCTGCCGCTGCCGAATCTTCTGAAGAGCCTGGCGTGCCGTGCGCCGAAGCCTTCGACGACTTGAGATCGATCAGCTCAGTTCGCAGGCGCATCAAACGTTGTCTTTGTTTGGAAGGTTGGCTTAAGGAAAATCTCAAGGGAAACCGCTCATGCTGGGGTCCCCTTATTTTGAGACATGACAGATCTCAAGCCAGGCAAGCATCGACAGGGCAGAAGACAGGGTTGCGAGAAACTGCTCGACTCATGGAGCAAACATATGACGCAAGCTGAACGCTGAGGGCGGACCGTTGCTTGGTATCAAAGAAGAGCTCTTTGAACAAGCAACAGCTGCGACCAACAGGCTGCGGATAGATGCCGCGGAGTGGGATTCACATGCTTCAACAGTGAGAATGGCGCCGTCCTTCAAAGGCTCATTGTATAGCTCCATGCGGGAACCCGCGGCCATTGTGGGGCTGATTTGCCATAATTAAGACATAACCAAAAGTTAGCCAACCCAAAAACTAGGGGTCATACCAGGGGTTCATATATTTGTTACATATGGGCATGCTCATTCAGCCATTGAACCTTTACTCTTCACGAGCCACCATAACTTATCACCATGACTGGGGGCTTGCGACGAAGCGACAGAGAAAAGAGAAGCCTCAACGTACAGGTAAGACCCGTAAAAAAGACGTGCATTCCGAAGTGTGTAGCGCTGCGAGGAAGACACAATCAGAAAGCCAGAGGAATGTGGGTGTAAACCAACAGGGCAGAACTACAACAAACAAAATCTTCACTTCAGCAAATGGAGGCAACACTCCAGGTGTTCAGTCCCCAACCAACCACCCCCCCACCCAACCCCCCACCCAAACCCCCCGCAACCTCCTTCATTTAGGGTATTGATTTTTAGGGTTCCGGGCCGCAAAAAGTAACCTCGAAGTGTCCATGGCACCCCCCCCCCCACCGGAGCCGGCCGGCCTGTGCGGAGGTCATGGCCGCCAGGCTCTTGGCGCGCTCCAAGTCCTCCGAAGCCGCGAAGCCCCGCGCGCAGCAAAGGCAAAGGGAAACGCCGGCGTTGGGCCGTTTGGGAGAACTGGAACCCAAGCTTTGGGAACATGTTTTTTGGAAAACATGGGAGGATGTTGTTGTTGGGGGAAAAAATGCGATGGAAAACCAGGACTTTCGAGGGACCCCTGTTGTGAGGGTACCATTTTTGCACATTTTGGGTTGGTGAAAAACAGGTAAGCACATGAACCACCCGGGAAAAAAGAGGGATGATAAGGGCACAAGGAAGTGAAAGAAGCCGCAGCAACAGGAAGGATGAGGGTCACTGGAAGAGGTTGAAGCTTGCTCTTTTGCCCCAAGCCGGAGAATGCAAGGAATTCTGAGTGATGAGCATTCCTAGAACCTGCACGTGTGGCCTGTTTGAGCAGCCTTTTCAAGCAAAGCCCTGCCCGGACTGGCAGAGCTAATCAAGTGGTCAATCGGGCAGGCCTTGCACACACAAAGATGCGAACGTCAGGCCCATAAAGCAAGGCCGGCCGGACTGCGTCCAACAGGATTCAGGATCGTTTGCGCCAAAGATTAAATCTCAACCGCCGGTTGGCTCAGTAACACAGAACCCACGTGTCCTGCATATGCCTCGCCAGCTCATCATTCTGCCGTTGCAGCACACTCGAGTCCTCGGCAAGAACCGCGGTACTTTCAACGCCATCTTCGCTTCCCTCCACGCATTTCCACGATGCTCTGTGCTGCGAGCGCCTGAGGAATGCTAACTGGTGATGCCGCTTAATGTATTCCTGCTTTGTCCAAAACCCTATGATGGAACCTCCCCTATTGGACCCATTGGCCCTATTGCATCCTTTGTTGGACGTTAGGCGCTACCTGCTTCGGCACGCCTTTGACTAGCAGCCACCCAAATTCGGCCATGGGCAACCTGCAATAGAACTCAAAGGCTCAGAAGCCAGCCCCATGGCTCCAAACTGTACATGTCCACATGCCTTCCCAAACAGGCTATGATCTTCGGGTACAGGGCGCTACTTCGCACCCCTCCTCAAACTCCAGGTTCATGGGCGCCACCAGGAGGCTGCGCCTGAGATCTACTCTCGGGGATCCGCCAGGCCAAAAAAAGCAATGCGACGGGGCGGAATGCACTAGGCCGGCCGACTCCTCGTTCTTCGCCAAGTCAGCCTGCCATTGTCCCCACGGCAAAACAGTGTATGTCTGTGTGTGTGTGACTGTGTGTGACTGTGTGTGTGTCTGTGTGTGTGTTTGTCTGTG